GTTCCAATCCGGTGCGCGCCGCTCCATTGCTGACGTCTGAAGTGCTTCGGCTGATACCACGACGCCGGGATACCCATAACTACTCCCGTGTAGATGGTTAGTGCGTATAGGCCAGTAGCCAGACTCAGATCAAATACCAAGATCTCGTTAAGCGTGTTAAGTATCCGCGAATGCCTAACAGGGCCAGGCCCACCTGTCTCCTAGGTGGTCTCAACCTGCCCTGTCACTCCGCCACAAAGTAACAGTCGGGGGCCGTCGGGAACTCAGGCCCACCACTACCTGGATGGAGCCGCCTGCCCCTTCAGCCCCCATCTCCAAACAGTATCACCAGTAATGTAACAGTGTAAAATATATAGTATATGCCCGTGATCACCTCCTGAAGTGATCACAGCCCAATAGTATAGCATGGCAGACGGACAAGAGTGTAGGGTCACTGATGGAACACTAGCATCCTATACTAAGCATTTAGGATTGCGGGTAAGGTATCAATGACTGTAGCAGCAATGACAGGCTATGCATCAGAATAGGATTAACGGAAAGCAGTAACATGCTACACTACTCTAATGCAAGCAGTATAGAGAAGAGTAGGCGATATCTGGTGATCAAAGGGGGGGGGCTTGCCTGGTTGCTCTGGCAAGAGAGAGGGGTCGTCAACTCCGTAGTCGAACTGGTCAGCAGCAGCGTCGGTCTCGTAGTCTACCGGAGAGGAGAGGGGGAAGAAATAATGAATACAGAGCAAACAAAGCATCCCAAAATATAACAAGGCAATACGCGGTGTTCGGTGTGCCCTAACGCGGTAGTAGGTGATACCGGTGAAGGGGGGAAAACATCCGGAAAAGTATTCCCGGTGTTTCGTGTTTTCTAACAGATGAACCGGAGGTGAAATGTTGCAGGTTCTCTATGCTAGGGACGCGTGGCGGACGAACGGGCTGCGTATCCGGATTCGTCTCGTCGTTCTGAGCAACTTTCATGTTGAAAATATTTTAATCCGAGTTACGGATTAAAAGATATAATTTTTTTAAAGATTTTATTAATTTCTGGAATTTAATTAATTAATTAATTAATTCGAAAAAAATGGATCTATCATGCTGACGTCAGCAGTCAGCAGGGTTGACTTGGTCAACCTGACATGTGGGTCCCGTGGGACCCACCTGTCATACTCTGTTTAGGTAACTAGGGTTTAGGCTAAACTAATTACTGTTTAGTTAGACTAACAGGTTAATTAGATTAATTAAGTAGGATTAATTAACTTAATTAATTTAGTTAATTAATTAATTAATTAATTATTTTTTTAATTCTTTTCTTTTTTTTATTCTTTTTCTTTTTAACAGGGGCATGGGGGGGCCACTGGGCAGTGGCCCAAGGGCCAAACCGGGTGCGGGCGTGCGGGTACCGGGCACAGGGGCTCGCGGGTGCGAGCGTTCATGCCCGAGGCCACATCCAGGCGCGGCAAGGAGAAGGCCCCTGGGGCGCGGCGAGGTCGCCGGCGACGGGGAAGCCGGCGAGCGCTTGCGGGGTGGCAGACGACGCGGGGGCGAGGTGCGAGCGGGTGCGGCCTCGCGCGAGCGTGCGGGACGCGTAGGCGCGACGAGCAGGGGCTGTTGGGGGTGAGGTGAGGGTGGTCGGGCGCGGTCAGCAGTTGCGGAGGACGCGTGCGCGTCGCGACATCGAGCGAGGTGAGGCGTGTACGGGCAGAGGCGGCATCGCCGGCGCGACGCACGGGCAGGCAGGGGGAGGCCGGTGTGCGCGGGCGATGATGGAGATGGGCGCGGTGATGATCGCGAGGTGCGACCGCGCGCGCGGCGGTGCTGTGTAGTAGCAGCAGCAGGTCGTGGGCGAGCGTGGCGCGCGGGAGACGGGCGCCTGGGCGCGGCCTTGTGCGGGCGCAGTAGCGCCGGAGAGGCGATGGACGGGCGCGCACGAGGCCACGCGCGGGGCGAGGAGGGAGCGGCGCGGGGAGGTCGGGCGCGATGTGGGGACAGGGGAAGGAGAGGAGGGGCGCGGAGGCCGTGGCCTCACCGGGATTCGTAGGGACGGGGCAGCGGGGGTTGAGGAGGAGGACGGTGACGAGCGGCGGAGGGGATGCAGGCCGGCGGGGAGGAGGCAGTCCGGTGGGGAAGCTCCGGGCGGGGTCCCACGGCGGCGGCGCGAGCTCCAGGCAGCGTCCGCGAGGCGACGAGGCGATGGGGTCGGGGCACCATTTTCGGGGGCGAGCGCCCCCGATCCAGATCCACGCGGGGGAAGGGGAAAGAGATCGGGGGGATCGTGGGGGGAATGTGGGGTGCGGCTAGGGTTTAGATCGGGTGGACCGTGGGGTTAATGGGGGAGTGGGTGGCCGGTTGGGCCGGCCAGGCGGCCTAGTGGCCAGCTGGGCCACGGTCCAGCAGGGAGGGGTTCCCTCACTTTCCCCTTTTTTGTATTGTTTTGTTTTCTGTTTTTATTATTTTATTTCTTTACTGTTTTATTTTAGTTGCACTTTATTTTTGGTTTAGTAAAATATGAAAATAGCCCCAAAAATAGTGTGTCAAAATAATCCACTGTTCTAAGAAGTTTTACCTCAGAATAAAAATAGTTTAGTATTTGGTAAAATATATTAGGAGTATAACTAATTGTTTTGATGTTGTTTTAATCACTTTAGTGTATTTAAATATCTTATAAAGATGTTGTTCTCCACCAATAATATCCATGATTTATTTGTCACATTAAGAACATTTTAGTTTTGACCTTTGAAAACTTTAGTTGTTTGACTTGATTTTAAATTTGAATTTGAATCATTTTTGAACCATCGCGAGATTAACAACAGTAACCGAGGTTACATGGCATCATTAGCGTGGAATTACTGTAGCCTAAATATCCGGGCGTCACAGCAATCATCACCATCATCATCATCATTACCACCGCGCCGCCGCCATCATCACCATGCCTTGTCCCTTCACCGGCTTGATACCGGCTTATAACTTGACCCTAATCTTCATGCATATGTTTGAGTAATTACAATAGTTATCGAGGATATGGTTGAACCCTATGTGATACTTGATGTGATCCAATATCTTCTATTCATGATTCGGGTTAGTGTTCTCACGAGTATTGAGAGGAGGCCTCGCTCGCACTATTGACATATAGGTCATAGAGGACCTACTGTCGTTGTGAAGGGTTGGGGCATTGGGGTAATTCGAGATGACAGGAAAAGACTTTGGTTCCTCGCCATCACAATTGATAGGGGAATACTAGAGAACCCTTAGAAAGGCCGCGTCCACGGGGTGACCCTTAATTATCATAAGTTGTAACCCTATGGTGGAGACTATGATGGTGGCGTGCGTGGCACGAAGTCTACTTCAAGTAGAACGTGTCATGTACCCGGCTCCGCCCACTTATGCATTTGACTAGTGAATAGAGGATTTGATAGTTCATATTAGTGGTAATGATTCCGGAACCCTCGAGAACGCTTTATTACTCAAGCACCATCACCACTAACGTACCTATATTTGTTTACTTTTTTTTACTCTCTTGCTAGTAGTTTAGTTAATTACCCTTTTTATCTTGTTTCCCCTAGCAACTTATAGAATAGGCTATTTTCAAACTCCGGTTTGGGTACCTACGTAGCTCGTTAAGTGACAGCATAGCTGCGGGGTTTGTGGTGCCTTCGTATTTGCTCTCTGTGGGTTTGGCACTCTATTTATCACACGAAAGTGCTACAATACCCTGTGCACTTGCAGGACATCAAACCATATGAGGGCAGCCAAACGCGACCGGGCACCCCGCTCCAGGTCATAGCGGTCCCACCTGCAGCTACCCGAAGCTCCTTCCAGGTCAAGACAGAGGCACCCAAATTTTAGTCCCACCTCGCCACGCGAGGTAGACGCTGATCAGCTTAAATGGCTGCGCCGGCAGATGGCGGCAAGCTTCTCTCTTGTTGCATAGGTCGATCAATTCTCGTGTGTGAGCGAGAGAGCTTTCATGAACTGATGATTGTTCATCGGGTGTCAAATTCATCTCGTTCATATACGTCCCTACCACATTGAAAGAGATTTTTAAACAGTTCATCGAATTTTATTTTGACCTACACCCTTGCACCGTTCGACACATTGTGATTCAAAAAGAGCCGTGCAAACATCAATGTTCCGTATGTGAAGGAGATAGACCATGACTGTTAATCTTCTCTGTGATGAGCAGAGAAGATTAATAGTGATAGTCCATCTCCTTAACAAAGGATGCATTGATGATTAAAGTCTATTGCTTCTGGACTACCCGGCTATTTAAGCCGGTCGACTAGCTTCTCATGCGGCCAGGTGGGACAAAAATATCCGAAACTCGTCGACCCAATATAGATGTGAAAATCATACATGTGTTTGCATGTATTAGCTGTTTTGGAAATATGGTTTGTGGTTGCAAATGGTAAAATTTTAAGCCCATCCATTTACTGTTCACGAGCACATCCACAGACGTTTTAGGGGTCATATTTACAGGTTGCGGCCTTAGATCCTCTTAAGACGAAGACTTT